TATTATTGTGGACACTCAAATAATTTATTTTAAACTGAAAGCTTGTTGGAAAAAAGTTTGTCCCGTTAGCCGATGCMCTTCTGTTGTGTACGTGTAAATAAACAAATTAAAAGACTTTGTTTACGAGGATGACAGCAATCACGTTTCAAAAATATATATTTAGATTTCCAGTGACAGAGAGATAAAGTTTTGCTACCTTGTGTTGTTTTATATGCTGTGCACAAAAGGTGTATAGAGTACAGCACATAACTAAGTAAAAGTACAAATACTTTAACAGAAAATGACTTGGGTGAAAATGAAATTTTGTGGCGTTGTAATGATGTGTGTTAAATTTTAAAGTAAAAACATAATTTTTATGTTTTGAATGTAGCAAAATAAAAAGTAAAAGTTAGAATAAAAGAAAAATAGATCACTTAACTACTGTTACGCCTGTGCTGAACATACAAGGTTGTGTACTAAAAAGACACAAGAAACACCAATGACTATTTTTTTTCACAAGATAAAGGCTAATTTTTCCAAAGAGCCCATTGTTAAATCAGCTCAACAGAATGACATAAAGAATACTGATTTTGAAAAGAAAACAAAAATAACAATTGAGCACCAACAATCAGCTCCCAAACTAACTGGACACCTCACACAAAGTGTTTGTCCTGACTCGAACATTAAGAAGCACCTGAGCAGCCAAAATGCTCATCAATAATACCACCATAAAAATAAACTGAACTCCTGCACATGGATGTTGCTTTCTTCATACAGTGTATCACACAAAAACAGGCATTTATTAGTCAAGTTGTATAGGATAATCATGTCCACCTGACAGTAGGGATCCTGTCCAGCCGAGACTCGGGACTCCAAGCCAGAGAATCGACACGCAGCTCGTGATGAAACGCTCGAAGAACGTTGAACTCAACTCCCTCCACCTCCGTATCCTCCTCCTACGGAGCAAACTCACGTTTGAAGATGAAGAGAAACAATGCAGCAGGTAAGTACATCGGTGTGAAGCTGAACCTCTTACCTGGAAGAGACAGGTGCCCACCACCACATACTGGTTTCCACCGTAGGCCAGGAGAGAGGCAGGGATACCCGAGCTGAAATGACTGAACTCAACCACATGGACGTAGTCCTCACATGGCACTGTGTAACTGGGACTGCGAGCGGAGTCCTCCTGCATGTTGTGGTGCTGGTAATGCGGCTTTGGACCAAAGTTCTCTGTAATATATTAGTGAACAATTGAATTATAGAGTGATAGTATGTTCCTCAAATCATTTTAGAGTATTTATTTATTTATTTATTTATTTATTTTTGTAGTGGGGCATTGTTTAGGTAAACGCACAATTTTCTTTGACATCCATATGAATGCTGGGACCAGCAGGGATTACCTAAAGCAGGGGTGTCCAAACTGTTTTTAGTGAGGGCCAAATACAGAAAAATGAACAAAGGGCCGGGCCACACACAAGAAGTGACATATTGATACATCAATAATGTGTGTATTTCTAACTCACCTATTGGGCTTAAGGTCACTGTGATTTGTGATTTTTATCCATTTTTGCAGAAATATCGCCCGCGAGGGGCTGCACCTGCTTGCAGGTATAAAACCCAGTGCTGAGCCTCCAGGACCAATTCCACCTGATCAGATCTGTTCCGTTTACTGCCTGGAACAGATCCATCAGGTGGGTTTCTGAAWTTTTTTTGCATTATTGCAGAAATATCGCCCGAGGGGTGTTTAGCAGGCAGGCGGCTATAAAACCCGGTGCTCAGCATCCAGGACMRGTTCCACCTGACTGGATCTCTTCCTTTTATTCCCCTGCATCAGCACCAGCAGCCCCGTGCTGAAATTCAGCTGTTTCACCCGCTGGAGCTCGCCCGCCGACATTTGACCACTTATATCTCCACGGGGGAACATCCCAGGAACTTGCAACCAAACCAGATTGTAGCGCAGATCCACAGCTTTAAAACAAGCCCCTTCCGCCCGGATCAGACGCTCAGAGCCAGAGCTAGAGGCTCCGCAAAAAATGGACTGCTTCTTGTGCGGGCCATATTCAATTATATTTTCAGAATTTAATAAAAACGGTATGTAGTTTGGACACCCCTGACCTAAAGCATCAAAATACCAGAAATGCGTTCTCAAATATCTGCAAATATCAATTTTTACATATTTTCCTTACAAAACATATTTTCCTTTCAGTACAAATGAAAATATAGCCTTTTTAAACTTTTGCATGGTAGAAACAGAAGCTGCTGTTCACATTAGTGACAAACAACAGTAACAACAGCTTTTTGACAAGTTTAAAGTTTCTTTAAAATACATTAAAAATATTTTAAAATAAACAACAAAAAATTTGATAAAGTGCAAATTAAAATATAACTGTATCTGCAATGGTATTTGATAATGTTTTGAACTTTTAAAATACTGCATGATAGAACTAGAAGTTGCACTTCATACTAGTGACAAACTTTGGCCTTTTTTGATGGGTTACCTTCATTTTTGCTTTTACTTTTCATTTAAAATAAGTTTCCATTTTCGGCAGGTTTCTACATTTCTTCTTCTACATGTTAAAAAGTTGTTAAACAACTGAGTGGCGCACTACTGCTACTAGTGGTGAGAAAGTGTATTGCAACTTATCAAAATCAATGTGGTCCCACTGCCCTCTGCGACCCAAAGTGAAAAACTGTTGTCCTTTTGAGGCCCTCAAGGTGGCGCTCGCGGCCCACAATTGGGACGCGTCCCATGGGTTAAGAATCTCTGATTTAGGGTTCTGGATTCTTCGGACCTCCTAAACCAGGGGTGTCAAACTCCAGTCCTCGAGGGCCGCTATCCTGCATGTTTTAGAGGTTTTCCAGCTCCAACACACCTGATTCAGTGATTGAATTAACTCTTCAAATTGGGCAGAAGCCTGTTAATYACCCAGCGATCAAAATCTGGTGTGTTGGAGCAAGAAAACCTCTAAAACATGCAGGATAGCGGCCCTCGAGGACAGGAGTTTGACACCCCTGTACTCACTTACTCCTCTGGCTGATAAATCTGCCCTATGCAGAGGTTTTTTTTTTTTTTTCATAAATACTACAGTGTGTCAGTGTTGATATAATATGATGTTTTTTGCTTTTTTCCTCATCTTCCCTTGTGTGGTTTTTTGTTTTTCTGTTGTTAAGGTAGCGCAACTGTGTTTGCTGCATGACCGGTCTTAACTGGCCCCTCCCCCCTTCCCTGAATGTAATGAAATGAAATTTTATTTGAACATGATACAATATAAAAACAAAATAGTGCACAGTAACAAGAAGTGCATAAAAAAGAAAAAAAATACAGATTTTTGTTTTAATTAACATATCATGCTCAAAATGGGGTAGGAAGAAGTAAGAACTTATGAACTCCTACCCCCTAAACACTTGAAAACTTTACAGTCCTACTGACATTAAAAAAATCAAAGTCAAAGTGGCAGTTAGCAGTTACTAATATTTACCTATACATTTTCCCATTTTATGCTTCCCATTTCCCATTTCCCATTTCCCATTTCCCATTTTCCAAACCCTTACACCAAGTTGTTATCTGCAATAAAGACATTATTGCTTTCTCTCACCCATATGTGTAATTCTATTGAAAATGACCTCCTTGTATTTTCTTTTGAATTGTATTAAACTATTGCTTTGTTTTAAATCTTCATTTAACTTGTTCCATAACTTTTATACCTTTAACTGAAATACAGAAGCTTTTTCTTGTTGTTCGGAAATTGCGGAACTTGAAGTTTGAGTGACCCCTTGAGTTATACCCCACTTCGTGTACAGCACGTTGAGAATTTATTTCTGTGAAGGGCGCTATATAAATAAAACTTTACTTACTTACTTACTTACTTACTTGTAAATATAATCACTCAAATTACATCACTTTAATTTTCTTAAATATTTTGACAATAATTGTTGAAAATGACTGATTATCATTTTATGAGTAATTTATTCAGTGTTTTGACAAATGCAATACTTACATTATGATTAACACAATTTAAGTCCAGTCTGAGTGAATATAATCTGGAGGTTTCTATTACATCACTTTGATAACTTTATTTACTGTACCACTTTACATTTTTACTATTTTAGATTTTTATCTTATGTAACAGCTGTATCCTATGTTCCTATGCCTCAGTCTCACAATAGACATTTAAAGTGTGTAAAGTCATGATCTTTTAAACTCAATTTAAAAACACACCAAACTACTTATTCATGATAACTTAACTATATATGAAAATAATTAATGATCTAAAATACTGTCTCAGTCTTGAAGTTACAGTTAAAACACTTTTAAACCAGGCAGACTGGGGTCAGAAACAGTAGGAATAGTTAGGGTTCTGTTGCTCACTCTTTAACTCGGTAAATATCAAAATGGACATAAGCTGAATTAAAGCAACATCTGAAGTTATGGTACAAATAGGTTTTGAAAACGACCCCATCAACTGTTCTGACAACACTGTTCGTATTCGGGTTGTTGTGGACACAGTGTTGTACGTTTTATCTTCACACAGTAAGGTGTTTATCCAACGCATTGGATTAAAATAATCACCTAGCGGCGAGCTAAACATCCGAATGCTGCTTTATTCGGTATTTTTAAGCTTTCAGTACTTAGGCTAAAACCTTAATAACACAATCTTTAAAAGATAAAAGAGGGCATGTTTCAACCCTAAATACGGGAATTGTATAAGTACTTTACCCAGACAGTTTTCAATGGAAACGCTGTGGCTGAATCGAACACAGCGCGCCGTGGAGCTGTTTGCAGTCTTTTTCCGGGTGCGTCACGGAACGTACCATTGATTGAAGAARAAAGGGGGTGGTTCAAGCAAATGTAACCTTTAAATATAGATTCATTTTTAAGTTATTAGGGGAAACAAGAGTTTTGAATTATTTATATATTAAACATAACCCTGTGATTTGTTATTAACTTGTGAAATGTGACATATTGAAAAAGAAAGAATTATCTGGGCTCACCCACCTGCCTGCTCCAAGTTGATTGGCCGGAAGAAACCAGACGTCAACTGGTTTAAATGTTTGAAACCAGTTGCTTCCTTGTGGAGTTTTGATGCTGCAACAATTTAACAGGTTAGAACCGTTTTAACCAACATTTTCTTTGTGTTTTTATGCATTATGTATCTGTAAACATTATGTGTAAAAAAAAAAAAAAAGAAAAAGTACGAATGACGAACGATATTTATTATGAAAAAAAAAGTATTGTAAATTAAATGAGGACATATGACTTTTGAAGTATAAAATGAAGTATAAAGACAAACTTATTTTAAATTAAGCATTGTTTTTAGACTTGCTTTCAAGATTACAAGTCTTATCCTTTTATGTGGTTTAATTTAGCTTGAAATGGACCAAAGAACTAGATGTGGAGAGTATTTTCTTTTGTTTAAGGAAATCATGGAAGTGTTTGGGGATCGTATCAAGCTGGTGGTGAAAACCTTCAGGAGGGAGTGCCACAGGGTTCTGCAGTCAGAAAGAACCACCATTCATGGAGCTGACGGCATGCTGATGATGCTGCAGCTGGCCATGGCAGAAGTTAATAAGCAGGTAAATGTTTATCCTTCTTTATTTGCTCCACATGAGCCCCATCATCCTCATCAGAGCAGAGTTCAATTGAACCATCAGGCTGATTGTCATCACATCCATAACTGATGACGTTACCACAGCTTTCCAACTGAGACATTGCTTGTTTTTGGACAGTGGCAGAACATTTTTCTGCTTTTGTAGCTGATTGGTTGCAGGCCGTTTAGTAATTACAGCTTTCGTTGTCTTCTCCCCTCCTGCGACAGCTTGGCGGAGAGTTCAGAGTGGCTCTGAGTGACGTCCTGATGGCCTGGAAACACTTATTGTTAGGCAAACTCCACCTGCCGCCCCCCAGCTCTGCACGCTTGGAGAACTATGATCTCATCCTGGAGGCATACGAATCCCTCCTGAAGCGCTCCAACACCATGGATCTGGTTGACGTTCTCTCCATGTACAAACAGCTGAGAGTGGTGGACTCTGACCCAGAGGAGCCTGTAAGCCCGGTGAGCTGGTTAAAATSTGTCTGATTGTGGCTACTGAGTTAAAGATACGTTTGTTGAATTTATCTCTGTTTTCTTTATTCTTTTGTCAAGACCCAGCTGTTTGACTTTCTAACCAGTAACGTCGAGGTCCCAGATTTGCCAGACTCATCAGTCACTTCAACACCGTCTAGTAAAAGCAGGTCCTGCAGCTTCCAGGTAGACCCATTAAAAAAACATCCCCTCTCCTTTTCTGCCCTCATTAAAAGTTGTTTAAGCAACTCAACCATCGTTTTACCTGCAGGCAATAATCATTTTTCTGTCTTTTCTGTCTGGAGTTCATCCTGTTCTCACTAACAGGAACTTTACATCGTATGACTTGGATTTAAGAGCGCAACGGGAATTCAATTACCGCAGAAATGTTTAAAACGYGGCACAGAGTGGAGCTTCTGCAACCCAGTCTCCTTCCTTTTCTGTCACTTGCTAATTTATGAGTTTTCAGCCCAAGTCCTGCTGCTGTATTACCACTTATATGGTGATGTCACCATGAGGAGTTTAAAGCTTGTTTGAAGGAGTTTCACTCAGGAAGCTACTGACGGTTCATGAAAACCATCTCTGCACATTTGGATAAATACCACCTTAAAGAGGAAATAGTTTTGTTTCTGTTGTAGCTAAAGCTAAAAAGAATCTGGCTTCAAACTCCTGAAGTCAAATCCCAGATTTTATCCCACACATAAAGCAGTAAAATAGTTGTTTTAACGCTGGGAATTTTAGTCTTTCATTCCCAGATTTTAAATCTGTGTTCAGCTAAGCTGATCTACTGCAAATGGATCTTAAATCTGCTCCTAAGAAAACAAAATATTGCCTTCATCCCTCTGTTTATTGTAAAAGGTCAAAATGGCTGTGAGACGAGTGTTCTGCTCCTACCTGAGTTTGCTGGTGAACTCCAAAAACGACCTGGCCTTGGCGCTCACCCTCGATGTCCCGACTCGATCTCTGGGACAACAGGCGTTTACTGACATCAAGCACGCCGCGTATAACAGCAAAACGTCTCTGTTCTTGGTAAGAAACGTCTGTATTTATACTTCACAGCACAAGAAAACCACAGTCGGAGCTCCAAACATTTTTAGGTCTTTTTTTTATTTTTTTTTTTTTTTGCAGGCTGTGACATCTTTTATAAGAGCCATCCAGCTTGGAGGAAAGGGCTACGCTCCAGCAGAGTCTGATCCACTCAGGAAACATGTCAAGGGTCTGTCCGGCTATGTCCAGTTTCTAGACAACCTGGAAGAAATACTGGGGGAGAGTCCTGACCCAAGGTACGCAGGGTGCCACCTAGGTGTTAGTCGCTCCCTGCTATTAGCTTTAGTTAAAGCTATAATCCAGCTATTTTGACTGGAGTTCCATGGAAACATAAAAACTGGCCAGGGATTGCTACTCTGGAACGTGTGGGCGGATGGATGGATTTTTAAAGGGGCAGTATCATGTAAAATCAACTTTTTTGAGTTTTATATCATGTTATAATGTTAAACTCTCATAAAAAAAACATGCCCAAAGCCTTGCTCTGACTCATTCATGCATGTTTGAGAAATCTTGCAGTGTTTTTAGGAAGCCATGCTGAGGAGCAAAACGACAGGTGGGGACCAGAAACGCCTTTGGGACGTGTCTTTAAGCTGAACTTCCTCATGGCAGAGCACAACCCCCTCCCCACACACCCCGCCCATGACACCTGCAGGCTCTCGGGTGAAAGTGAAAGTGAAACCTAACTCTCTGCTGAGCTCTCAACATTAGTTCTCACTCAGTGAAGCTCTTTTCAGATTAAAACTACCTTTGAGGAAATGTATTTTCAGATGCCAAGTAAACTGCATCACAGTGCACGCGCAACCCSCYCCYSCGYSTTAAACACAGCATTTTAATAACAGCTAAAGGTGACATAGATACTTTATTATGGTATAGTATTTAAATATATGCCTGAGAAACACATAATATTGGCCCTTTAAAGCTATAGTCCAGGTATTTTGACTGGAGTTCCGTGGAAACGTAAAAACCGGCCAGGGATTGCCACTGTGGAACGTGTGGGCAGATGGATGGATTGTTAAAATTCTGGAGACAAGAGTTCTAAAGACAACTGCAATCTTGGCTTCGTTCTGACTAGTTTTTAGCTCGTCAGTTCTGTTGGATGTAAACCATATTTCTCTAAATTGAGGCCCTTCTAACTTATTCACAGAATCACACTTCAGTATGGTCAGAATATTTGTTTAAGGTAGCTTTGAGAGGAGAAAACCATAAATGAAAATGGCCCAGAAATGAAATGACGTTACGTACCAAATGTCCAAACCTCTTTGTTGCATATCCCCTGAGTAGGCAAGTGCACTAAAGCCTGTAAGAAAATCCTGCTGTAAAAGTTGGAGAGTCGGTGGTCCGGCCCTGATCTGACACCAAGTAACAGAATCGTTTGGGAAAACAGATGTTCGCTGAACAAGGAGCCCTGAACTCACCACACAAGGTGTTTGCATGAGGAAACACAGTACTCTACTGAGAACATAAAGGCCTGTTTAAAGATTGGCCAAAATAAAAAGACTCTGCCCAAACAGAGATAATGTGATTGTGTTATGGCTCAATCTAGTTAAAGCAAGTGCTGCAACAAAACATCATCGTCTCAGTGTTTAAATAATGGATCAACTCAGTCATCTCTGATAATCCTGTTTGTTGTGAAGCCAGAAAACTGGACATTAAGAATTAATCTGTAAAAACACAGACTAATCTGTGGAGTTCAGGGTTTGATCATCAAAGCGAGGGACAACCGAACAAAGCCAGGCTTTGATGTGGCAAAAACGAACGTGCTTTAACCATCCGAATGTTATCTCAAGAGGTTCTGATAGGAGTTGGTTTTTGGATTTCCAAGAAATTACACCAAGCAGCAGAGCAGGTGGATTGCAGGTGCGCCATCTCCTCAACGACGATGAGTTGACAAAAACTGAGCTGGTATCACCACAGAGGAGGCAGATTTTAAATGAAATGTCACGTTTAGAAATATCGATATAGCTTTTCTTCTAAGCTGAGCCCATATTTCTGTTGCACTCTCAGCGTTTGTGGAGCCAGGCTGCTGTCGGCCATCAGGGCTGCGCTGGTGAAGGGACGCAGCAGCGGAGATGCTGTTTACGCTGCGGCAGAACACGCTACAACCGAGCTGAAGGAGAGGATCGTCCAAATTCATCAGCTCCAGAAACAGACTGCTAACGAGCGTGGGACAGGGATAAGTCCTGCCAGGGTAATGTATAATCTCTGGATTTCCAGCTTCCTCTTCTTGAATACAAGACTTTTTTTTTTTTGTCTATCCTGACTGGAAGCCGTTTTTTTTTTTTTTATCTTCAGCCGAAAGCATATGCGGTCAATCACGCCACTGCATATGTAGGTCGAGACACTGTGAAGGTGCTCGTGTCGCTGCTGGACGAAGAAGCGCTGGTGCCTCCGTGTCCGAACAAGGCAGACCTGCTGTCTGAGGATCAGCCYGTCCTCAGTGGAGCCGAGGGAACCTGCATCCTCATGCTGTTCAGGTTTGTTACACCGACTCCTGTAGGAGAACTTGTTTGTCCTCCATGGCTGATGTAACAGCCGATAGGCAGTGTTGTATAAAGTACCACAAAGTGATACTTGAGTAAAAGTACAAGTATCTTACCAAAAAATTCCTTTGGTAAAAGTTAAAGTCTCCTTTAGG